CCCACCCACACCCCAAAAACACCCCCACAGCTATGATTACACTTTTGACATCAATGTTTCAGCATGATGATTTCGTAGCTTTGTCATCAGCCTGCCCGTCTGATCTTTTTCCTTGTGTGAAACGGATCAGCTGAACCTCAAAGACACAATTCACCCACATCGTGTTTGATTGTGTGGCGATAAGCTTCGTACCAACATCGACTGCTCTGCTCTGTAGACTCATGACTTTGGAGCTCTATCTGTAATGTGTTGCATCTCTGTTGCAAATGAAGCCTCTGACTTGCTTTACATCTTGTAATTCATAAAGAAAGAGGTTGGTGGGAAAATCTACATGCTCCTTCTGTCATGTGGGAAAGGTGTCTCTAATCGTGGCTTCAGTCGCTGTTTCACAACCTAAGACTACTAGACAAGTGAATTTAGGTAGCACTTACTTGTTTGTACGTTTCTGGCTTCCAAGCATGGTTATCATTTTCTACATCAGCATAACAGTCATTATCATAATCATTTGAATGTTGTTTTTTCTGTGCTTTCTCGTACACAAATGTTATTTATTACTATTTCAGGACTTCGTTTCCAGAGAATCTCAGTCCTTAATCAGCCTCTCAAAGTTGACTAATAAAGTGCAAATTTACAAAAAACATATAACATTGATTTAATCTGCAAACCCAAAGCTTATTCAAAATAGGTTTTTGGATTTTAACGTACACTTGGTGGCATTTTTTAAATCAGGAAAGAAGAAGGTTTCTGCAGACAAGATGGTGGAGATGCAGGCAAAGATCGAAGAGGAACGAAAGGCTTTGGAGGCCAAGCTGGACATGGAGGAGGAGGAGAGGAACAAGGCGAGAGCAGAGCTGGAGAAGAGGGAGAAAGACCTCCTTAAGGCCCAGTAAGTCTGCAAAGATGCATTTAAAATGCACGTCTGATAACTTACAGAATGTTGCATACATGTGAACGTCACTCATTCATAAACAGAGGCACCTTTTAACCTTTTAGGCAGGAACATCAGCTCCTCCTGGAGAAATTATCAGCCTTGGAGAAGAAGGTGATAGTGGGTGGAGTGGATCTTCTTGCCAAGGCTGAGGAGCAGGAGAGGCTCCTGGAGGAATCCAACAACGAACTCGAAGAGCGACGCAAGAGAGCAGAGCAACTGCGTAAGGAGCTTGAAGAAAAGGAGGTATGAGGGCATAATGGGCTACCTACATTTATTAAACAAAGACGAGTAGTAAAATTATAGACAAAATAAGTAACATGAAGTATTGTGTTGGCAACAACTGACTTGCAAAAAATGTACTCAGTACTTCTAGCAGAAACCAGGTGTAATTTCCCCCCTCCCAGCTGAGCTGCAGCTGATGATGAGATAAAATACCACGTAGTTAGAGAGCACAGTGCTGTATTCTTTGAACTAGCTGTATCAGTATAACCACAGTGATGCAGACTTTTATTGGTTTGCAAATGTAATCCATGACCTTTGACCTTCTTAAAACAGCAAGAACGACTAGACATAGAAGAGAAGTACACAAGCCTGCAGGAGGAGGCTCAAGGAAAGACCAAGAAGCTGAAGAAAGTCTGGACCATGCTAATGGCTGCTAAATCAGAAGTAAGCATAACAAAGAAGAAATATGTGTGTCTGAATTATTGTTTTCAAAGTAGGCAGCTTCCTTTTTTTACGTTTCAAATAAAGTTAAATTTTATGCACTTGTGGGGGGGATAACATGGAACTTCACTTTCAGGGGTTCTACTATCCTGATCACCAACATGAGTCTACATGAAGCAGCACATTTCCCATGTCTCATGAGCTGCTAGAGCAAAGAAAACTGTCCTTCCACCTCCAATAGCCCAATTTGCATCTAAAATCCTTCAAATCTACAATAAAGTCAAGCTACCTCCTAGTACAGATTAATGCACTTTTTCTCTTTACAGTCCTGCCAGGTTGTATGTCTTTATCCTGCTTATATAAATACAGAGTAAGCCCAGCTTAGTTAAGTGCTTTTTATTGTGTTTTAATTGTTGTTTTTATATCTGTGATCTGTTTTATTGTTTTTAATTATTTTTGCTTTCCGTGAAGCACTTTGTGATGTTTGTCTGTGAAAGGTGCTATAGAAATAAAGTTTACTTACTTACTTACTTACTTACTTACTT